GCCTGGTTTCCCCCCTCTATCCTGTGCTTTTCTCTGCTCCATGTTCAAGCAGAGGTCTGAGAAAGACTGTCTGAAACTCACTCACTACTGAACTAGACAGACCAAATGATTCAACTCAAAATAAGGCAATGGCCTATACAGTGGTACCTCGAGTTACAAATGCCTCAGGTTACAAATGCTTCAGGGTATAAACTCCGCTAACCTGGAAGAGTTACCTCGAGTTGAGAACTTTGCCCCAGGATGAGAATGGAAATCGTGTGGCTGCGGCGCAGCAGCAGCAAGAGGCCCCATTAGCGAAAGCGCACCTCTAGTTTCAGGTTCAGAACGGACCTCCGGAATGAATTAAGTTCATAACTAGAGGTACCACTGTATAACCAATAACCATGTGTTGTAGTGCTAATGCAGGTGCTGGGTGGGCAGTTGTTGGCATAGGAGCCAACTTCTACAGGCGAAGGGGGTTTGCCCCCATAAAATATTTGAGGGGGCCGGCACTCCAAAGTTGATGGGCATTGCCATTCAAATGGTGTGTGTGCACTGTGTCATGTGATTATGTGGGGTGGAGCTTACCTGGGCCCCACAATATTTTATTCAAGTTGGCGCCCCTGGTTGCTAATAAGAATCAGTGATCAAAAGGAAAAAGCTGCATCCTACCCTGCTCATTCATTCTCCCTGCAAATGTCCCCACAGTGGTATTCATTCTTCTTACTCACCAAGGCCCCCAAAGCAGAACTCAGTTGAGGCTGCTGGACAAAGTTGCCATGGGGAACATTTACAGGGGAGAATCATCCCCCTATCCAGTTCTCCCAATTTGTCCTTACAGTTGGCCACTATAATGCATTCACACTACTTTGGAAAATGTGGGTTTGTGACATGCAATTCAAACTTCAGGGTGTGGAAAGACACTTTTAAGTGTGGTGAGGGGAAGTGGGTTTTTTGGTTTAAAGAACTGTGGTGGAAAAGCTCAATAGGGAAACTCTCATCAGGAAACTTCTGACAAGCTTCTGAGGAATTCCAGGCTTCCTAGGTACACAACTTTAAAAACAGCAAGTTAAGGGAAGAACAAGACAGAGGCACTTCTGCAAACCAAAGCGCTCTGCCCGCCATCAGCTTTCACTGACAGCAGGAAACACAATACTAATCATGGCTGGTCTTGATGCTGTTAACAGGGAGGCTTGAAGATTCTTCCTCCTGCTTCACTTTACAAACCTGCACTGTGACTAATCTTATGAACCACTGCTCTAATCCAGCCAATCCACTTGATTATAGATTATATTTTATTTGAGGGGTTTTTAAATATTGTAATTCTCATGAATGCATTTTAAAAATCCTAGTTACACCAGTGAGGCACATTCTGCTTTCAGTATAATGAATGACTAATATTTGACAGAGTGGGAGTCATCAATGCAGGCAAAAAACTGAAACCAGAAACTGAACAGACAAAGATGACAATGTGTAATTAGAAATGTATTGTGACATTTAAAAAAAAACCTTACATTACAAATTTGTAGTGAATAGAAAATGAGGAGAATGGAGCAAAAGCACCACAGGTTATTCAGATTTATTCTTATTCTTTTAGGCATGTTTCTTCTTTCAGTTTTTACCCCAAGAAGCATTCCACCAACTAGACACTAATAAAATTACAGGAAAACAGAGACACAAGTAAATCACAGTGATACAAAAGCTTACCATGCTCTCTACATTATTTGTAAGAATGCAAAGGATATTTATAATATGCATATATACTAAAAATTACATTGCTAGTTTTATTTAGTGCTGGTATTTAAAGGAGCAGCATAGCCTTCGCCATCGTGTTGGTAATGGAAAGAACGGTGTTGTCAGATCCAGTCTGGAACAGAGTCCATGCTGTTCATAGCTTCATAAATAGGAATGCAAATGTAAAGAGAAAGTTCTGCAGGTGCACCTTGAACTTCTCCTTTCATGGTGCTGCAGTGACAGGAGATGTGTATATGCCTATCATCTCCTCATTGCAGCACCTATGAAGGGAGACGTTAGAGTTGCACCTGCAGAACTTTCTCTTTACATTTACTAAAGGCATCCCACGACAGATGTGCAGCTGGCAGGGCATAACTGATGGTAGCTCCTGCAAAACAGGTGAAGGGATGTATTAGACTATGGACAATTGCACTTTTCCAGAAGGGTCTTGCTTTCTGCTTTCAAACGTAGCCAGACAAAGGCATCTGGCATTCCACTGACAGAAAGATCAATGGACAGTTGGTTAGATTCAGCCATGGCTGGCCCCACCATGGCAAAATGAGGCAGCTGCCTCAGGCAGCAGATGCTATGGGGCAGGTAGCAGTTGCCAAAGTGTTGGGAGGACAGAGCTGTGTGTGCCATGTGCTTCCTAGCCTACATCCCCCTAAGCTTGCTTTCCATGGAGAATACTTTTCTATTGCCACAGCTGAAGTCAGATTCAACTTATTTACAGGGAATGGCATGAGGGGGCGCCTCAGGCAGGAAAATGTCTTGAGAAAGGCAGCTCCTATTTTGAATAGTCATGACTTTTCTCTGTAAGTTTTGCTTCCTTAAAAATTAAACTCACGAGGCACGTAATGAGTAAGTGGACATTTCAGCACTGTTTTAACTGAGTATCATCAGTTTGAGGTCCCCATGGAAAGCAGTTTAAACACGTAACAGTGCATCTTAAAAGCTAAGGTTGCGGGGGGAGAATCCCTATCCTATCTGCTGCAGCACCAGAGAATAAGTCATTAGGAAAGGAAATAACTATCACGTCACTAGCTATCAATGTCTACTAGCTACAATGGCTATGTTCTGCTTCTACTGTCTCTCAATGCCAGTTGCTAGCAATCACAAGTGTGGAGGGTGCTGTTGAGCTCAAGCCCTGCTTTTAGGCTTCCCTCAGGTATTTGGTTGGCCACTGTGAGTTTCAGATGCTGGACTAGATGAGTCAATGGCCTAGTCAAGCAGACCAGTGGCCCATCTTTTTAGGTCCTTAATAGGTTACCTGTGTAACATGACAACTTGTGATGCTGATTGAACAGCACAAAGAAAGTTCCTTCAGCCACACTAGAGCACTTCAGCACAGCTGCGGCACTGCTTTTCCCCAATTGCCTTGAAGTGGTAATTTTACCTTGAAGTGGAATTAAAATCTATTGCTATATTATGCAGCAATGCCGTTTTGTTCTGTCTGGTCACAAGGAAGTTCCATTCAGCAAAGGTCTTTCCTAAACAAAGGCTTCCATTTTGCAACCCCAACCCTTTTTGTTTCTTCCTATTGTTGAGGGTTGTAGAATTAACAATTAATAGCCTCCTTTGCCCCTTTAATAGCTTCTCTAAATTGTCCCAGTCCCAGTTTTCCTTTGGAGGTGGGACAGGAAAGATGATTTAATTACTAATTTCCTCTTATTACTCCTTTCCCCTTTTTATTCTTTTCACTAATGGTTTTTATGGCGCTGTTTTACCCCCTTTTTAAGGAATGTTTGTTTGTTTACTAGCTGCTGAAAAGGTCTCCAAAAGCCTTACAACATGTTTGAGGCATAGACTTAAGTTTTTTTTTTAAAGTTACATTAAAATATAAACATATATGCACAAAGCAAATACTGCAGCAATAAGTAATTGAAGCTGCCACCACCATAACCACTGGCTTTGGAGCACTTTAGAAAGGAGAAAAGCAGGAGCTGTTCATCACTAACAGCTCAGCCTGGATCAGCAGGAAGCAATAAGGCAAGTTGTGAATGTGCAAAATGGAAGAGTTCATTTTAAAGGCACAGAAGCCCTGGAAAGCCTTAATAGCGTTTTAGCTATCCACACTGCTTAGATCAGCGTTGCAATAAAGTTTTCTCTCAAAATAATCACCACAAAACATGTCTGGGAAACACTGGGAACAGTTCCCAGGAAAGCTCTAGAGTGCAGTGGGGACATGCTTCTCAAGCAGTGGACCATGACACACCTGTGGGCTTTGCTTTCAAGTGGGTCTCAGTGCCACAGCCTGCCTTGTGCCTCCTCAATTGTTGATTCCACCCTCTAGTCATCTCATAGCCTTTGGATTTAACAGCCAGCACCAGCAACTCCTTGCATGCTGAGTAAAGATGCCCAGGAGACCTAGAGCAGGGATCAGCAAACTTTTTCAGCAGGGGGCCGGTCCACCGTCCCTCAGTCCATGTGGGGGGCCGGACTATATTTTGAAGGAAAAAATGAACAAATTCCTACGCCCCACAAATAACCCAGAGATGCATTTTAAATAAAAGGACACACTCATGTAAAAACACGCTGATTCCTGGACCATCCACAGGCCAGATTTAGAAGGCGATTGGGCCGGATCCAGCCCCCAGGCCTTAGTTTGCCTACCCATGACCTAGAGGTTTAGTGGCAAGCAGAGGGTGAGGAAGGAAGTTTCCTTCCCCTGAGGGAAAGAGTCAGAGAAGGCCTTGAAGGACAGTGGAAAAGTGGCTTCTGATGATGACGTTGATTACTTAAACTGGGAATAGGAAGAAAAGGGACAAGACAGGAAAGTTATTATTGCTATATAGGAGGAAGATGCGGATGTAAAAGGGTGGAGGAATGAAAGAAATTGCGGGGGGGAGGTACAAGAAGGTACAAGTTTAGTGTAGAAGGAGAATGGGTAAAGAAATTACAGGAAACAGTTAAACAATACTGTAAAGGGCATGTGGGGGTGAGAAGCGAAAAATATGAAAGAAAAGGCCTTCTCCACTCAGAGCCTCTGGATAAGCAAATGCTGACAAAAAGAGAGATTGAGCCACAATACCTCAGATAAATGTCTGTACTTAGAGGAAAGCTGGCCTATGGAACTGCCTCTGTGGCTAATAATTTAGCAATTTCCAAAGATGGATTAGATATTGTTAGAAGGTGATGCCACTAATTACCAGTTGTAGTTATACCAAAGTCTCCTTGCATCTGTCACCATTTTGTGACTTGTTCTACCCCTGCACTACTATTTTGTGACTGGTGGGCCTTAGTAACTTTCAGCAGCCTCAAGTGGGCCCTGCTGGTAGAAAGTCTGAGAACACATTCAGGAAGCCAAGAATGACAACATGTGGATTCTCCATAAGAGTGAGTGAACAAAGAGTGGCAATTCCAGGAGGAAATTGGTGCAGAAGCAGAAATACCCTAATGCAAGATGGTTGTATGTTAATACTGGCTTAGGGTTGCTCTTGCCACACCAGTAACATCTACTAGCACCAGACATATTGAGGCCACCTTATTTATTGTAAGCCTTCTAGAGAACTTTGTATGATGGGGCTATAAATTAATGCCATCTATGAACAAATAAACAAATAAAGCAGAGTAGCATTGGCTCAATATTGGACAGAGAAGGTTATGTGGCATTTTTACTGGAATGGGGGTAGCAGTTGCAAAGGTTTACTCTGTGTTGTTCTAAAGTATTTTTGACCACCTCAAATATATTGGTGCAACCCTACTCAGTTAATAATCTGGAGCAATCTTTTGTGATTATAGGCAGCATAGCTGATAGATGCCCCCCCCCCAAGTCACTGCAGTACCAGCTGTTCCCTGCACTGTGAAGGTGACAAGCAGGAATAGCCAACCTGGTAACCTCCCAATGTTGTTGGACTCCAACTCCCATCAGCCTTAGCTGTAATGCCCAATGGTCAGGGATTATGGGAGCTGTCCAACAACATTTGGAGAGCCCTGCATTGGTTACCCCAATCTATAGGAATTTAGCCCCTATAGTTCTTAAAATTCCACAGAGGAAACCATTCTTATTCAAAACCAATTTAAGTCTGTAAAGCAGATATACCCTAAGGGCCTTTTCACACATAGTTTGAAAATTGCTTGAATTATCAGCTCTAGCTCATTACATTCCCTTCCTCCATAAGTAAAGATTTCTCCTGTAGTAAAGATTCTCTTGACCCCTCCAGCTAAAAAAGGGAAAATGCTCTATTACTTGCTTAGAACTAAATCTATACAGCTCAAATTTGATGGAGGGCCAGTCACCTGCTTTAGGTAAAGCATCACAAGTGACAGCAGCAGCATATGAAAGTTAAAATATGCTTGTAATCTACCATCTTGCTTCATCCTCCATTACATTAACAATAGGATTTCTGAGCATTCAAAAAATTTCATTAAGCTCGTACTCACATGCACACAAATAGTGTAAGAAAGGCTCAAAGCACTTTAATTAGTGTGTGCATAAATGTGTGGACTCCTTGCAAGTACTTAACTGCTGATCTTGCAGTTTCCCCATACTTTCTGAGATAGTCTATTATTAGTATGTACATCATGCTTTTCATGTACATACAGTAAAGCCTGTTTTATTCAATATTAATTATTTATCATTAACATGAATTGACTTCAGTAGATAGTGATAATGTAACTGTTTTCATAACCTTGGTTTTGATTGGTTAAAAGAAAGAAATCACCATCTAATCAAGGATGCTTAGCTCTGTGTTAGATTAGTCATTCTTTTTATTCCTCAAGGTAACATAAATAATCTCCTTTCCCCTATTATCTTCATAACAACAACCTTGGAAGGTATGTCAGGCTGACCAACTCAGGGTCACTCAGTTTTGCAATGTGACAAAATTAGCTCCATCTGCAGATAGCCAAAATTTGCTTTCCAAAGACACAGATTTCTGTTTTCTGATAATTTTTTAGTCAAACTCCACACAGTGGCGTAGCGTGGGGGGTTCAGGGGGGGCCAGCCGCACCGGGCGCAACATCTAGGGGGGCGCGCTCGCACTCGCAGCTCTCTGCCCCCTTAGGTTAGGGGGCGCAAATTACTTGCCTTGCCCCGGGGGCTGACAACCCACGCTACGCCACTGACTCCACATACCGGAAAAACAACCTATTCAGGTTTTTCTTCTACACTGAGATATTACTCCAACTCCCCCCCCCATGAGTAAATTCTATCTAAATGTTTTAAACAGCATCAGTTCTTGTACAGAGCATGACCAACCTATCTTCTATCCTGATATCACTCTGACACATTGGGTTCGTGTTGTTCTGTATTGCAGAGGGCTTATCAACATGGTTCTTTCCTCACAATCTTTCTTTTATATTTTCCGTAAAAGATGTAGGACCAAATTAAGCTGTACATCTTTGATTTACTTCCCTCTGTGAGTGGACTCGTGTAATATTGTGGTGGTTCATTCAGTGTTTAGGCCACCCTAAAAAAGGGTGCCGGAACTCACCACGAACACCTCCCTCATTCTCTTAGAATGACCGCTCCCCGCATAAAACGGGGGGCGCCCTTTGCTTGGACACGCGCAGCCCGTGGATCTGGAGCGGCTCCATCAGCATAGGCTTGGCTTTGCCTTCCCTCAGGTGGGATACCTGGAGGTCTCCGCCTACCTCAGTCAGATGTCCAATCCCACCTGGGGGAAGCGGTGCCAAGGAGACCAGGCCAGGTAGGGGAGGGATTACCTGCCCACACAATAGAGGGAGGATCTTACCTGGGAATCAAAGGCTACATTAGATACAACCAGCAGGCACTGACAGATACCATATAATCCTTTCTTTCAGGCTCAACCCCCAAACATGTGTGGATCTTCGGCCACAGCATAGTGCATTGGGCGGCCGCCCATGCCGCCACCGGTCCAGCCGGAGAACATCTGGGTCTGCAGCCAAAAGTCTCCATTTCCTGGTTCGGACAACGTGGAATGCGATGGGATGCCCTGCTGCCTCGGTTGCGTCACAAGCTTGCGTTCCGCCACCCGCCAAATGCAGTTGTGCTCCACCTCGGCAAAAATGACTTGGTCATTCGTAAAAGCATAATTCTGATCAAAACAGCGATTGCAGACCTGGAAAGCGTACATGCCACTCACCCCAATATCACGATTCTCTGGTCAGAACTTCTGCCACACTTACAATGGCGTGGCAACATCAAACCCACTAGACTTAATTACACTGTTGAAAAAATCAATAGGGCAGTGCGCTCTGCAACCACTCGCATGGGAGGTCGGGTCGTGAAACACCCCAACATTAAAGTTTACATGAAGGAGCTATTTAGGCCCGATGGCGTGCACTTATCGGACCTTGGTAACGAGCGTTGGCTGAGTGACATCAGGCATGGCCTGATTGAATGGTTGGAGGATGGCAAAGGGGCTTTTCAGATGTAGGTAATCTTGGTGGCGAGACTGCAATCTTTGCAGTCTCGGGTGGCGGTATCAGGCCTTGGGTGGAATCCTTTAGTCCATCTTCCTCTTTGCGGCGGCGATACCAGGGTTCCCCGTTAAAGGGGTTTCTGAAGGGAGGTTTTGACCGTACACCGAAAGGTCGTCACTGCTCTCCCCTGCGGCGGCGGCATAACGGGGGCGGCTATCTCTGCTTGAACATATGTTCTCCAGAGCCGGCCCATTCCCCCCCCCCACTGGATAACCCTGAAGCTCCCTAGGTCCCCGGCTGGGGACTGGGGAGGGAGAACGCCAAATGCCTGAGCCAAGGTCTACCCACATTTGAAATTTAATAAAGTTGTGGCCAATTTGATCCCATAGCACGTTGTCTTGAGTCGTTATTCCACATGACGGGGGGGACCGCTCGGGATCTGGGGACTCCGCCTGTCCACGCAGTGGCAATGGTGCCCACCTGAGAACTGAATTCCAGCAAGTTCCAGCTGAAAAAAGCCCTGAGTATGAGAATCGATGGACTCTAAGCAGGGGTGCCGACTTCAGCCCCAGGTTATGGGTACCCAGCATGCACAATGTGATGTCATGGCATCACATTGCAGCATGATGTCATGATGTCACGTGTCCCATGGCCTCAGAACCTGACTTCCGGTGGCCTTAGAGCATCTCTGAGGTCTCATGACTTCCGGTGGTTTGTGAGGCATCAGAAGTTGCATCGGGGGCCCTGCGGTGAAATGTTTTGTGGGTGCTCGGGCCCCCAGGGCCCCCTAGAGATGGTACCCTTGGCTCTAAGGATCCTGTTTGCATACTTTATCCATAGTTTGAAGTATTTGCCATGGTCATTCGCCAACCATCAGACAACCAATGTGTTAGGAAGTTCACTTTGGGAGGAGACATGGAGAAAATTTGCTCTGGATATTTTGTGGATGTGATTTTTAAATCACAACAGCACCATGCGCTTGGGTCAGAGGAAGCAGGTGGGACAGGTTCAGGGAGTCACTGTTGCCAAGGTATTGGGAAGAGGAAAGTATGTAATGGGAGACAGGAGGTGGACCATTTGTGTCTTTTTGGAGGCTACAACTAGTGCAAAATGTGACTGCTAGGTTGTTAAGTGGGTGAGCCCAAAGGAACCATATGTTACCAGTCCAGAAAGAACAGCATTGGCTGCTGGTGACCTACTGAAGCCAATTCAGGACAATGTCAGGACAAGCGTAAAGGTAAAGGGACCCCTGACCATTAGGTCCAGTTGTGACTGACTCTGGGGTTGCGGCACTCATCTTGCTTTACTGGCCGAGGGAACCGGCATACAGCTTCCGGGTCATGTGACCAGCATGACGAAGGTACTTCTGGCGAACCAGAGCAGCACATGGAAATGCCACTTACCTTCCCGCCAGAGCGGTACCTATCTATCTACTTGCACTTTGACGTGCTTTCGAACTGCTAGGTTGGTAGGAGCAGGGACTGAGCAACGGGAGCTCACCCCGTCACGGGGATTTGAACCACCGACCTTCTGATCGGCAAGTCCTAGGCTCTGTGCTTTAACCCACAGTGCCACCCGCATCCCCAGGACAAGCATACAGTCCTAAATGGCTTGGGGCCCAAGTGCCTAAAAGAGTACCTCTCCTAATTTCAAATATCCTGGGCCATATAATTGGCACGGGGGAGGGACTATTGGTGGTACTGTCACTAGGGGCTGCCCAGTTGGCACTGACCCGTGAGAAGACCCTAAGTGGAACTACCTCACTTATGGAATGCCTTCCCTGTAAAGGTGCATCTGTCTCCCTCACTATGAACTTTCAGGAGGAACTTAATAATATTCCTGTTTACCCAGGCATTTGATGGCTGAAAGATTCTGTTCCTGGCAACCTTGACATTATTAGCTGTGAGGGAATGTGACTGCTTTATATGCTTTTAGATGTTTTTAAATCTTTTAAATATACTTTGCTTTATTTTTAGTAGTATTGTTCTACCTCCTTGGTGTTTGCTGCCCTGGTCTCCTTAGGGAGGGAGGGATAGAAATTGAATAAATGAAATGAAATTTTTACTGAAGATGCTGCAGCAAAATTTGAAACATCTGTACAGTCCTGGGCTTTTTACGAATTGTTTTCAGTGGATTCTAAAGTGAAATTTGAAATCCAAAGCAAATTTAAAATGAAAAGCACAACCATTTAAAACTGCACTGGCTGCGGTCCTATGCACACTTTCCTAGGAGTAAGTCTTATTGAAAACAGCAGCACTTTTTCCTGTTTCGGTTGTCAGTAAATAACCATATTATTCATGCAAAACCCACAAAGATTGCCTTGTTCTAGCTAATTCCAAAAAAGCTTTTGGCAGTTTTAAGCAATAATCTTGTGATTCATTTCATATAAGAACAAACAGCAAAGATTCTGTAGCACCTTAAAGAATAACAAATGAATTGTGGCAGAAGCTTTCATGGATCGGATCACTAATCTGTAAAAGGCAAGCCATCACCACAATATTAGCCTTAAATGTTCCATACAGAAGTGTTGCTTTTCTCTGCAGTAGGCTCAGAGGGCTACCTTAAGCCTGTGTACGCCCTTTGCCTTTAAAGTACATTCAAAGCACATTCCCCATCCCCTCAAAGAATTCTGGGCACTGTAGTTTATAAAAGGTTGCTGGAAATTGTGACTCTGTGAGGGGTAAATTATAGTGCCCAGAATTCTTTCAGAGGGAGAATGATCTTTAAAGGTAGAGCACGTGCAATCTATGGAACCTCACTTTAAGAATTTATTATATTCAGGAAGATATGAGCAATAGTCCCAAAATGCAAAACTATTAGGGATAGGAATCACTGACAAAATATTTCTGGATATTGCTCTCACTCCTTCAGCAATGCAAATCTTTATATATCCTCTCCAAAACTGCAATAATAAAATTTTCTTTTTGAAAGGTGAGCAGTTGCAAGTTTAGCACAGAGACACTTTGAATAAATTTAGAGGAAAAAAGAAAAAATAGCATGACTAAAGGTGCTTACAACATTACACTAGCTCACAAATGATAAGATTACTTAGAACAGTACTATATCAGGCTAAATCAGGCGTGGGGAACCTGAGGCTCCCCAGATAGTGTCAGACTTCAACTCCCATCAGCCTTAGCCAGCATGGCGAATGGTCAGGGATGGTCAGATGTAGCCCAACATCTGGAGAGCCATGGATTCCCTAGTCCTGGCCTAAAATATTTGTGTGAATGCAACCAAAGTCACTCCAATGAAGAGGTCAGAGAGAGAAGCAACAAGATATATATGAACTTAACAGTTTTTTCATATGTACACGCTGACAGCGAAATATTGTTTTAAATGAACAAATTCTTTCCTGCCTTGACATCATTTTGTGGAAATACACCTAGGGGGATGGTGATGCAATATGTCTAGCGTGGCCTAGTTGTGCGAAGTACTGCTGCCTTAAGTCACTTGGATATTTAACCTGATCAGTTATGTTTGCCCTCTAGTGGCAGCTCTTTTGAACACAAGCAAGACAATTTTGACTTGCAGGTCTGCTGCGATCATGGTATGCAATAACGTACCATGTTCAAAAGAACTTTCTATTTGATTCTGAGCATTTCACATGACATCATAGAGAAGGGTGGTATTTTACTAAATTTTAATCTGAGGAGACTGATATTAATGGATTTCATTTATGATCATTAATTTCAGTCGGTCCATTCTGAGTTAAACTTAGTTAAATACTGCCCATTAGGTTTAACTTCATTTGTCTACACAACTTTCTCACTTCATAAACTTATATTCTTATAGGGCTTTTTTTCTTAATCATGCTGTTCTTTTACAAACATATTTGCTCCGTAGTCTCCCAGTTTTGCCTTTGTGATATACTGTTATTAAAAGACTATGCTAATAACTTCACCAGACCTTAGAGAGAGAAAAAAAGACTATAACTCAATGCAACCATTTTCTACAGAAAATATGTTGGTATGGCACCTCCAGGACTGCTGACATTAATAGGTTAGCAGAAAACTGCTTCTGGATTGGCTAGGTATAGGAAGTGCCTGAAGTCTTGCTGGTCAACGGCCAGCTCACCTGTGAGGCAACTGTCTCTGGCAGCAGGATCCATAGGAGCATCAGGTCCCAATGTAGGTCTTTATTTCCCCCTCGTTCCTGATGTAGATCTTCACTCATTCCTTCTTCCCTGGCGGGAAGGAAGGCACCATTTTGTGGTTCGCCTCAGGTGCCAAAATGTCTTGGGCCAGACCTGATGATATCCAAAATTACTTGTACTTAGAGTAAACCCATTAATTTCAATCCACTTAAGTCCATTGGGTTTACTCTTAGTATGGCTGATGCTGGGTATCACTCAGAAACTCCTGTAGGCTACTCTTCTGGGTTTTCCTGCTTAAAAGTTTCAACATTTCCTGGATTTATATTGTCTCCTCTTCCATCTTCCAAATCCTAGACCAAGCTTCCTCAAACTCGGCTCTCCAGATGTTTTGGCCTACAACTCCCATGATCCCTAGCTAGCAGGACCAGTGGTCAGGGATGATGGGAACTGTAGTCTCAAAACATCTGGAGGTTGGGCCGAGGTTAAGGAAGCCCGTCCTAGACTCTTAATAATATGGATCTAGAGTTCAGCTTCTGGCAATGCCTCAATACCATCTCAATTAATACTATGCCACTCAAACCATTTATTCAGCCTAACCTAGACTTTTATTTTGATATCATCTGCAGTGAGTTAGTTCTGGTCTAGTCAAGGGTTTTCTAAAGCAATTGATCTTACGGGATAACAAAATGGAAATAGTTTATTACTAAGCTATAGTGTACTGACTAATGCCAACTATAGAGACCGAATTACAAAACAATGTTTCTAAGGTTTGCTCATACTCTTTTTCTTCTGAGTTTCTGAGAAGCAAAAACACCACTGGCTCAGCATATCTACACAATGAATTGGTTGCTTTGTGCCCTCAAGTGATGACAGGATATACAAGAAAGCCTAAGAATTATGAGAAGGAACACCTTCTTGCTGGAACAAAGGAAGCTGTCTTATTGGTCCATCTTGTCAGACCCATTGGTCTATCTTGCTCAGTACTGTCTGCACTGACTGGCAGTGGTTCTCCAGGGTTTCAGGCTTGCTGAAGGCATTTCAAATCCTACTTGGAAATGCTAAGGATTGAACCTGAGACTCTCTGCATGCAAAGCAGAGGCTCTACTGCTGAGCTACAGCCCCATGCACAGACCCCCCCATCATACCTGCAGATTATGTTAAGCTTTTAATATTAGTAACTGTTATGTACTGAAGTTCTCACCCTGGGCCAGCAGGGGAATATAGTAGATAGTTATGCAAATAAGGGATCGAAAGTGACGTTCAGTGATTGGATAGTTTTAGAAAATTGTTACAGTTACATTGTACTGGAGCTCTATATAAGCAGGCTGACTGAACCCTTCAGTTCAGTTCTGTTCTGGGCTGTGAATAAACAAGAGCTGTTTGAAGAATCGCTGTGTCGTCTGATATGTTCACCCACAACTTAACAGTAACAGCGTATGGGTATTCTTCATATGATTGTAATATCACAAACCAAGGGGTTTTTTTGTACAGCAGACTTCACTATGCATCCCAAAGTGTTTCAAAGTGATTTAAAAGCTATCAAAAAAGCAGCAACAATAAGCACTCAGGCTCTTTCATTCAAATTCAGAAACAGAAAGATCATAATCCTCAGTCATTTACTCTTGAAGTTGTTCCTCCAGAATCAATAGAGTTACTTCAAAATACTCAAGTTTTGGATTATAGCCTAAAACAGCTGTTCTGCCTGTCTAAGCTTTCCTGGGAGTTTGTACCGTAATCATTAATAGCAAAGACTTGAAAAGGCAATTGATTTCAATCAATATGGAAAGCGTTGCAAACAGCAGGCAGCAGCGAACCCAGCACCTATGAACAAAAGCTGACAAAGGTCAAAAAGGAACAGAATTATTTTCACACGCTTGAAATGCAGGTGGGCAGGAGAAGGGACATTTTGTGAAATGCAAAGCAGGGAGGGAACATCAGCCCCCACCCCCACAAGTAAGAAAACAGCATATGGGGTGCAGAAAGGGAGCCCAAACTCAGGTGGACTCCCACCTGATTTTAAATTATTGACTTCTCCAGCAGCCCTCTGTTCAGAAGGACTCTCCAGTACTCCAGAGAGGCTTGGAGATGCGGATGGGTGGTCTTAGGAAAGAGAAGTGGTAAATGTTCTTTCTGTGAACTAAATTATGCTCATTTAATATCAAAGCTACTGTGTGTACATGGATAAATGCTCAGGCACACAGTTCAAATCCACCAGGAGCCATGGGTTCAGTATTGTGGGCCTAATTCTGTGGATCTCTTTCCGGCTGAGATCAGACAGCCCCCATCTCACCCCTCGGGAAATTCAGGTGCTTGGTGAACAGCTTTCTGTTGTTGTTGTTGTTGTTGTTGTTGTTGTTGTTGTTGTTCTTCTTCTTCTTCTTCTTCTTCTTCTTCTTCTTCTTCTTCTTCTTCTTCTTCTTCTTCTCCTCCTCCTCCTCCTCCTCCTCTGATATTATTTCTACTGTATCTCTTTTGTAACCTCATTTTACACTGCTTAGAAACAATGCTGTTAAGTGGTATATGAACTGATTGAAACAATTAATCAACAAGTCTAGTGGCTCCTTAAAGACCAGCAAATTTATAATGGCATAAATTTTTGTGCATAAATTAACTGGCACAATTCAAAGGACAAATGGCTATAGAGCAGTTGTTGGAAACCTTTGGACCCATTGATGTTACTGAACTACAACTCCCACCATCCCTTGCCATTGGTCATGTTTACTGGGAATGCTGGGGATTTACTCTGTAGTCTAAACCACTGAGCCTCTTGTGATTGCCGATCAAAAGGTCGGCGGTTCGATTCCCCGCGACGGGGTGAACTTCCATTTCTCTGTCCCAGCTCTTGCCCACCTAGCAGTTCAAAAGCACATCAAAGTGCAAGTAGATAAATAGGTACCGCTGTGGTGGGAAGGTAAACAGCATTTCCATGCGCTCTGCTTTCTGTCACGGTGTTCCGTTGCGCCAGAAGCGGTTTAGTCATGCTGGCTGGTTTATGTTGTTATTTATGGCCTCTTTTGTAAATAAATAAATGACCCCAAATCCAAATTTAGAAGAGTAGTTGTGTTAAGCAAAATCAGCAGAGTCTTGTAACACCTTTAAACAAATTTATTGTAGTATAAGCTTTCACAGATAAGTGATATTTCATCAGTTGACTGCGGGGACGGGACGTACCAGTCTTTCTAAAGAAAACAACAATGGGTCAAAATACCTTGGCAAAACAATATTTACACATTTAAGTACTACTGATCTAAATATGATAAAAAAGTATTTGCTTTTATATAAAAAAGAATTCAATTACAGCTGATTATTGTTTACTTCCACTTATGGCCTCAGGGAGGGGCCATAGCTCAGAGAATATGATACTTGATATGCAGATGGTCCTGTGTTCAGTCCCTGCTATTTCCCATTTGAAAATAAGCTCCTGTATCAGATCAGGAGGTTTTCAGAATTACATTGCCAGTCAGCATAAGACTGTACCAGGTGAGATCAATCAATGGCCTTAACACAAGGCAGCTGTGTGTGTGTGTGTGTGTGTGTGTGTGTGTGTGTGAATACACACACATATATACACATACATGTTCATTGTAAATGGTGATATTAAATGTATGTTATGATTTGCAAAAGATATAAAAAACAGGACAGTCGTGCCTCCTCTGTGAACTGATATCAAACACCCACCATAGAGAGAAAATGGGAAAAAATGAAAATACTAGCTACGTGCAGTTTCATAATAGCAAAGTGTGCAAGATGTGGTGGGGTTTTTTTTAGCTGAGCATGTCGAAAAGCAGTTTGGACTTTTTAATGAGCTGCTAAGGATTGTCTGGTTGGACTTCAGCAGCTTAGAGTTGGCTCACAGATGGCTTTTGCCCCAGTTCACTTTAATCCAATAATGCTATTCTGCTCCGTCTCACACTGCACACCCAGTAGTGCTTTGTGAGTGAAAAATTGAGGCTTCTTCCAGCTGATATTGGTATGAGAAATGTAACTGCATCACTGCTCTTTTGCTCATCATGTGTACATGGCTCTCAAGATAAAAATTGCTGAGACTAAGGTAACAAAAATCAAGTTGGCATTGAACTCAAGGTCATTGCGTAGAATTTGCTATATGCGACATATGGCAGGTATTTGTAAGAACCATTGCCTTTACTCCAATAAGCTGTCTTGTATTCATTTGTCGTTCTTTGACTCTTGAAAAAAACAAACATTAAAAAAATTAGTGATGCAGGTGGGAAATAATTTAAAGCATTGATAACAACTGCTGGGACATAAAGAGGATTTTTTTTAAAAAAATGTAAAGTTTGAAAGTGTTTTCTAACATTGTCTGGAGCTCCTGAAACATAATTAATTGCTGCTTTGTACAGAAACCGTTATAAATGCCGCCAGTCCTCATGATCTGGTGTAGTTCTAAATGTTTCAATAGAATAGCTTCAAACAGTGCTTTTTCTCTCTCTCTATATTATATATATATATATATATATATATAGGTTTAGGGGTACTCTCATTTTCTTACTCATATTGAAACACTGCCCCTCAATGAGGTCAAACTTAGATTTGCAAAATGTTTAGGGGTATGAGTCCCCCCCAGAAGAAAAGCACCAAATTGCGACTAACAAATCATTGAAGCATGCTGGATTATTTTATTAGTATTTCTAAACAGAACAAAGTTTTTGAAATGCACCAGATATGGCAGCAGGGATGGGAGGCAGGTAGAATACCAAGACATATAGCAGGCATAGGCAAACTGGGCGCTCCAGAATTTTTTGGCCTACAACTCCCATGATCCCTAGCTAACAAGACCAGTGGTCAGGGATGATGGGAATTGTAGTCACAAAACATCTGGGGGGCTGAGTTTCCCTATGCCTGACATATAGGCTTACTAATCACTCTGTGATTAAGTGATGTCTTGGATCAGGACCAGAGCATTTAGCCACCAGCTAAAATGAGGTTACCAGATTTTTTTCCAATGAATCCGGGGACACTTTTCAACTTCCTACTAAATAGATGCATTTTGTCAGGGGACTGATTTGTAAATCCGGGGACGACTGGTAACCTTAAGCTAAAATAGCCTTTTGGCATCCAGTTATAGAGAGTTCATTCTTTAAATCTTTCACATATGTTTTATTATCATTTACAGGATTCTCTCCAAGTAACTGTAACGTTTCTAGTGTGGTGACAACTAGAGTTTTATTTGGTCTGCTGCATGAAGTTTGCAAACATGAGATGAGGTGGATGGAGAACAAATTGTTGTTGTGGGATTTGGGCCTTGGCTCAAGATTCTGTTCAGCCATGAACACAAGAATGAGTCATTGCGTCCTACAAAGTGGTAGCTTAGCAAGCTGTGCACGCGGTTTCCCATCAGCTTGTGTTGCCCTAACAAACAGGGATGAAAATCCAGCACATGTTTTTGCTTCATCAGAAATACAGGCAAGCAGGAGAACATAATATTCAAATGTTCAAAATGGACAAGCTTACCAAGAGTTGTTGTAGTAAACTGACATTTAGTAAACTGTAGTCTGTAATTGCACAGTTTCTCACAGCCTCAATACCCTTATGGAAAATGGCACTAATGGGGATTTACCTCATAGTGTTGCTTGCAAGATCATAGAATCGTCTAGGGAATGATCTGAGAGCTAAGCAGGTTTAGGTCTGGTCAAGGCTTGGATATGAGGTTGCTTGGAAATCCTATGCAGATGGCCTTGAGTTGCATTATAGGAAAAAAAGAGGGACATAAAGGTACTAAAGTAATAATAATAGTAGTAGTAGTAGTAGTAGTAGTAGTAGTAGTGGTAGTAGTAGTTTAGGGTAAGATGTCTTACTGCTGAGTTATTGTTTTCTGGGTAACTTGAAAGTGAGCTTCATGTCATTTTTCCTTTACAGATTGTTTTGCTCAATCTCCTACTATGTGTGATCATATTCTACTCTGTGTATTATGTGGTCCTATGCTTTTGTTTCACAGCGTTCAGGTAGGAATACTTTGGCAATAATCATGAATGAATGAATGAATGAATGAATGAATGAATGAATGACTATGTGACTACAGATGTAGTGCAATGCTGACAACATTTTGCTCAAACATGGCCTCAGATACTTTGGGTGGAATTCTTTAGCATAATAAAACATTG